ACTGGGCCAGATGGTATTCCCTGCTGGCTTTTAAAAGAAAACGCCGATATTTTTGCACGACCAGTAATGTCGATTATTAACTGTTCATTCTTGGAGTCTCGCTTACCTCCTTCATGGAAGGAAGCCGATATAGTACCAATACCTAAGCAAAAACCTGTCAATGACGTAAATAAAGATCTAAGACCAATCTCTCTGACTCCAGTACTCTCTAAGGTCGCTGAGGATTACGTAGTTGAATGTTTTGTAAAACCAGCTGTATTGAAAAAAGTTGACCCACAACAGTTCGGTACATTACCTGGCTTGAATACCACCTATGCTCTTATTAGCATGCTACATAAATGGAACTGTGACACCGATGGTAATAGTGCAACAGCGAGGATCGTATTGTTCGACTTCAAAAAGGCCTTCGATCTGATCGATCATGATATTTTAATTCAGAAACTAGCGTCGCACGAAATTCCAAATAATGTTGTCAATTGGATAATAGATTTCTTGTTGAACCGCAAACAAAGAGTTAAACTCTGCCAAGATTGTGTTTCGGAATGGGGCTCGGTCCCCGCGGGTGTACCGCAAGGAACAAAATTGGGCCCATGGCTGTTTTTAGTCATGATTAACGATTTAAATGTCTCTAATGATGTGATGTGGAAATATGTGGGCGACTCAAACATCTCCGAAACTGTTAAAAAAGACGAAGTAAGTCATATCCAATCAACCGTAGATGAGTTCGTACGCAAGTCCAAAACCGAAAAGTTCGTGCTGAATGAGCGCAAATGTAAAGAAATGAGAATTAGTTTTACGAAATCGGAAAAAGTCTTTCCACCCGTTACGATAAATAACGCCCCCCTTGAAGTTGTCCCACATGCCAAAATTCTGGGCCTGAATGTATCCGACAACTTAAAATGGAATTATCATGTTAGCGAACTCGTTAAAAAATCTTCAAAAAGATTGTACTTCCTAACTCAGTTAAAGCGCGCCAAAGTGGGTTGTTTGGAATTGGTACAATTTTTTAAATCCTGCATCAGATCTTTAATTGAATATGCTTGCCCAGTGTATCACGATGGTCTCCCAACGTATCTTTCGAGTGATCTCGAAACTATTCAAAGACGAGCAATGCGAATCATCTACCCCACAGAATCTTACGAAGATGCCCTTGTATTATCAGGTCTAACTTCCCTATTCCTACGGCGCCAACAGATTACTAACAAAGTCTTCCTAAATATTATGAACGATGATGCACACAAATTACACGAACTACTGCCTGCTAAAAACAATATCTCGCTTAATTTACGGAAAAAGTCGAAATTCAATAACCCAAGAGTAAAAACGAACCGTTATAGAAATAGTTTTATCATCAGTAATTCAATTAAGGCATAATTAACAATAGTATTAGGCAATCTAAGTATAAACACGATCAGTTCAAGAACTGTTTTAAACAATGAACCATTTCAGAAATAGTTTTTACCGTAACCTAATTTAGGCATAGTTAGCATCTAGGTATTGTATTTTCTAACTTGTACATATATAATGCATAGTGGAATTCTCCAACATGTTTTAAGATCCTCTCTTTTATCAATTCTTGTAAATTTTACTTAATTCAGCTTATGGCTGCAATGTAAATTTCAATAAACTATCTATCTATCTATCTATCTATCTATCTATCTATCTATCTATCTATCTATCTATCTATCTATCTATCTATCTATCTATCTATCTATCTATCTATCTATCTATCTATCTATCTATCTATTAAGGTAAACCTATTCCAAATACATTTTTAAACTATTCAAATGATGAAAGTTAATGTTGTTTTTTAAGAGTTTATTAACGAGTGGGAAACACCAACATGGCCGCCATCTATTCAAATGGGGGTAACCGCTGGAATATTTTTGGCTTCGATTTTACTAAGAGATGCGCTATCTAGTCTATATAAGATATCTATGGTTAAGAGGCGCCATTTGTGGCATGCAATTGATCGCTGTTTCACAATCTATAAGTTATTTATTAATAAAGTTAGTTATAAGACTTTAAAACTATAATTTGAACTACTATTTGTTGTTGATAATTAGGTTAAGGAGAAAGCTGAGCAACCAGTAAGCCAACAAAAAGCCTCAAGGGGCGTGTCCAAACAGAAGGAGGAATAAACAGAAATAGACTGCGCCGGGGGATGCACAGGTGAAAGAAGTACCATCTCCAGACCCTGTTGAGCCAACAGAATATAGTCCGTGTGTTGTGAACCGATGTCGTTCACTTTCATTAAGCATGTCTTAGATCTGAAATATTTTAACTAATAATTTAATATTTGAACTAACACTTTCAAGCACGCTGAGTTCAAATCCGAAAGTTCTCGCTCCGTAGACCCGCAGTTTTCTCACAAAATGCTATTTTATTTTCAATAATTTCACGACAAATTTTTCATTGTTCAACGACACGGATCGATGACGATACACGATTATGTCACTCAAAAGGACCAATTTCTTTTAACAAAAGACCGGTTTTGCTCGAAACATTTTGAGTTATGTAATCTTATGCGTGTTGGACGTAAACAACATATCTTGTCTACAACTTTGAGAAAGTACAGATAACGCTTTCTAAAATCCCCAGTTCTAGAGATATCTCTATATAATCACAAGGACATTAATGTGAAGTCTTTTGGCTATGTCACTGGCCTGAAAAATAACTCTTTTAACGCGATCAAGGTATTTAAAACAAAAGTAACGCGAAGCCAACGTAACGGCAAAGACAACGCTAAAATGAAATATTGTCTATTGGTTGCTGGTAGAACACTTACGACAGGATCAATCTTAGATAACCTTAAACTATAAGAATAGATGTTCATATCAAAGACAAAGATTAGTCCCAAAGTATAAAATATGCTCTGTAAACTTACGACGAAGTGGGGGGACATGCGTGCATGAGCTGTTTATTTGGTGATTTCAACGTATATCGAAGCCCTCTTTCCAATAATATTCGCTTATCGCACAGCATAACACCAACTGATGTAATAGTTCAAATGCAATGATAAGTTATCTCTTGAATTACGTCTCGGAAACTGTGTTGGAAATTTAAATGCTGATCCATTACATACGATTACCGTTTTACATCTTTGTATAAAATATTTTGATCGCATGTAAGGAATTATTTCTTAGCCCAGAGACATAGCCCAAAGACTTTAACGTCCTTGTAATTTTATAGAGATAGAACTAAGGATTTTAGAAAGAATTATCTGTACCTTCTCAAAGTTGTAGACAAGATATGTTGTTTACGTTCAACACGCATAGAATTGCATAACTCAAAATGATTCGAGCAAAACCGGTCTTTTGTAACTCAGGGTGTTTGAAAGTGTTAGTTCACGTAAAAATATTTCAGATCTAAGACATGCTTAATGAAAATCGTTTGCTAGGCACTTTTCGTGGTCACAACACACGGACTAATATGGGTCTCTGGAGAACATCTCTGCAGAGAATAGGTGCCAGCAGCTCCTAGCAATGCATCCGTGCTTCACGATCATGTTGAGGTATAGGTTTGACATCTCATCTTTTCTGTGCACAAGAAAGGCTAACCAACTTTCTATTTGTATATTTGGTCTAGCTTACTTTTTGTCTTACTATATTTGGTCTCCCAAATACCCTTTGGAATACCAAAGTTTAAAACCGTGGTATGTTTGAGTATATATATAAGATTGGAATAATATTCTCACTCATATAAATATATAATACAGTACATATATAATTTATATTCTTTAGATAATTGAGGAAACAAGAAGAATCTTGAATCTCGATTGTGTTGCACGATGCCAGTTCGTAGATGAGAGTGTCAAGCGCCTGTTGTCGGAAATTGACTTTTTAGTGTTTAAATTTATGGTATCATCAAAAGAATAACTCCTCCACTAAGTCCAAAAATATGTAAGTATGCTTGGTTAAGTCCATTATAATTCTAAAAGTAAACCATTAAGTGGCAAGATCCTCCCCTTGACCATTAGTAAAAATGTCTGGCTTTAGACAGACTAAATGAATAAAGTATCACAATAATGGCTACTAACCCTTTTACTTGCAATATGTCAAGGGGAAAGAGTCTTGTTACTACGTGGATAAATATTTCCACAATTTCTCTTGCTGACCCATTGACTGGAAATATACATTCTCTACTTTGCTATTTTATTCTCACTGTTTCAAGAATCCCCCCTTGACAGGTAAAATCATCTGCATGTCTTTCTAGAAAGAGTAAGAGAATAAAATCTAGCACATTGCAAGGTTAACAGAAATACAGAGTTGAATTTAACGTTTAGTGCGGGAATTGATGATCGCAGACCACGAATATTTCTTTCGCCTTTTCAGGACGTCGCCGAGTACTTTTGAGGTTTCACTCTCATGGGTTGCGCCCTTAAATTTAATTTAAGGCGGAGAGACTAAGCGTAACACTTCGCTATCTTGTCGCGGGAGCCGCTCAAACAACGATTGAAGCCAGTTATCGCATTAGCCTGACAACAGTTGGCAGAATTATCGAGGAGTGTTGTGCTGCTATATCGCGAGCTCTTTCCGAACAAGGCTTCTTACACGTCCCTACCAAGTCAATGAGTGGTATATTGGTTACTATAGCAACAACAAATGTATAAGTGACTGATTTCGTGTCAGCCTCCCATATTCTATAATGTTGGAGTAAAACATGATGACCATGCATGTTGACCAATCTCGTATATAATGTTCCCAAATATGTGAACAACTTTTTCGATTGTTACGGTCCATGACAACGTTTCCGCCATTGTTAACTGTTCTCTTAAAGGTATTCTTGAAAAAATTCACAAATTCCAATTATTTCAAGCGATGAATCGGACGAGAGTATTGTTTTTCCAAGGTTAAAGAAAAGGCTTTTACAGACAAAAGATGCAACTGACAAACCTTTGATTTCGCCAGTCAGGAGGCCATTACGAAAACAATCTTGGAAAGCAGGAATGATGCAGTTAAACTGTCAATTAAATTTAAAATTTGGGACGACAATGACATAGTTTTTTTTTTAACTGAACATCGGTCTCATATGCATTAGTATAATGAGACATATATACGGACATGCCTTGAATTGTACATATAAATATTTTCTGGTTAGATCAAGCCATTATTGATTCAACTTTTTAAGCTATTTATGTACCAAGCAGGTCTTGCTTACATGGCCATGCAGCTTGTCATTTGCAGCATGCGAGAGAGGCTTATTATGTTGATTCTCTTAGGGGCCTGTTCATATGAGCCACGTTAGCCACGATGAATCGTTGTGCAATTGATGTCAACCGAAGAGTGGTGTACCATTCCTTGGAAACTGGTGGCGGCTATGAAGCGCTGTCATCATTTTGTAGCGTCATGAATATGCCTTGCATGTCAAAACAGGCCTACTATAAGCAAGTTGATGTTATTCTTGAAGCACAAGAAAGTGAAGCTCTGGCAGAGTTGTTGAAAGCTGGGAAAAATTGAGAAACCTCCTCGATGTGGAGAATGATACTGATTCTTCATTGGACGAAGATACTAACGAGGACCGTAATGACCCTCTTGATGTCACTGTTAGTTTCGATGGAACGTGGGCAAAGAGAGGATTCACTTCACTGTTTGGTGTTTTCTTTGTTATGTCTGTTGATACCAGAGAGGTATTGGATTACCATGTGTTCTCTAAATTTTGTCAAAAGTGTTCGAAGAAAAAGAATGAGTGCAAAGATGATTTAGAAGAATTTGAAGCATGGAAAGCCGAGCATATTACTAATGGAGAATGTGACATAAATTTCGAAGGAAGTTCCCCTGCCATGGAAGCTGAAGCTGCACAAGTTCTCTGGAATAGATCTATTGAGAAACATAATATGAGATATAAATTCATGGTATCTGATGGGGATAGTAAAGCATACAGCGCTGTAGAGGACACCTATGATGGTGTTAAAGTTGAAAAAATTGACTGTGTTGGTCATGTGCAAAAACGGATGGGGAAGCACTTACTGAAATTGAAGAGCTCTACCAAAGGGAAGTTAGATGATGGTAAAACCATTGGAGGAAAAGGAAGATTGACTGATGCCAAAATAAAACAGTTACAAAGATACTATGGCCTTGCTATTCGCCAGAATATTGTCACAAAGCCAAACCCAACTGACACCGAGGTTAACGTTGCTGTTTACACCATGAAGAACATAATTGCAACATTGAGCCACAATGTGAAAGCAGAAAGTATAGAAGCTCAACATCGATACTGCCCACCTGGAGAAAATTCATGGTGTAAATGGCAACAAGATAAGGCAACTGGAACAAAGACCTACAAGAACGACAACTTGTTACCATCAGTTTACCTGGATGTTTTGCGGCCTGTATTTATGACACTCAGTGAAACAAATCTTCTTAGTAGATGTGTCAGAGGTGCCACTCAAAACCGAAATGAATGCATCAACTCTTTGGTTTGGATTCGTTGTCCAAAACATAAATTTCATGGCAGGAAAATAGTTCGGTTTGCAGTAGCATCAGCCGTATGCCACTACCATGGTGGTGCAGTTTCTAGGACAAAAGTGATGGAGAGACTGTCTACACCAGGAGGGCAGCATACAGAGAAGTCTTGTCATTCTAAGGACAGGAAAAGAGTGGCTAAGTCAGACCTGCAGGTATTGGAAAAATTTAAACGGCGCCGTGAAGGAGTTCAACAATTGAGAACACAAAGGGAAGAAGCTTTAAGGGATGCAGAAGGAGTGACCTATGAGGCAGGAGGATTCTAGAAGGCAACTTTGTATTCAGTGGTAAGTACTGAAAGTTTGAATATCGCATTAGGGCCACTATATTGAATATTTATGTACTTTACACATTGTTTTTCCATGTCGAAACTTTAAATGTAGATTTCTCGAACATGTATATTTTCGACTCTGGGTTAAGATATCTTGGCAACGGTTAGACCAATCTGGCTGAAATTTTCAGTGTTGATAGAGCTCACTTTGGTGAGTAAATTGAGTAATAGAATTTGTCATAGGGTATAATGCAACCATTTGGGAAAGGAAAATATGTCAAAATTTTCCTCATAAATTTAACCAATAGTTTGGAATGATTTTGCAAAAAAACTACTTGCAATATCAAAAATGCCATTACTTAATTTAATCTACCTCCTTTGTAGTGCACAAAAAGCACATAAAAGTAGACATGAGTTAAAACCATCAAGAGATATCTTGAACCCAGCGTAAGGCAATTTTGGTGAAGAATAGTTAGATTCAAAGTATGCTATAATCGTAAATATATGAGGTATGGGAATGAAATTAGTATATTTGAACTCCTTGTCTAATAAGCTTTCTAGTGATATATAGTTTTGTGCAGTTAGCACAAACAGATGGCAAGTAATAGGTTTGTGAAATGGGAGAGTCCGAAATCTGTCATTTCAGGTAGAACCCCACATTAAGTTTGAGGGAAGCTCGCCAGCTATGGAAGCAGAAGGAGAATTGGTTGTCTGGGAGCGATCGATAAGTCACCACAACCTAAGATATCGACGCATGGTTTCAGATGGTGACAGCAAAGCACATAGCTCTGTGTACACAGACTGCAAAGTGGAGAAGCTAGACTGTGTGGGTCATATACACAGGCCTATGGGAAAACACCTACTAAACCTGAAAGCCAACACAAAGGGAAAGTTGGATGATGGAAAGACAATTGGTGGGAAAGGTCGTCTTACAGAGGTGAAGAGAAAAAAAACTATAGAAGTACTACGGCCTCGCTATTCGCCAGAACACCATTTCTAAGCCTTCCCCGTCAGAACAGGAAATTAATGTGGCAGTGTTATCAGATGAAAAACAACATAATTTCAACTCTTCGCCATAATGTTTCGTCTGACAACCGGGCCAAGCAACACAAGTATTGCCCCCGAGGTGAAAAGTCATGGTGCAAATAGCAACAAGATTTGGCAACAGAAACATCAACTTATAAGGGGAATGCATGCTTGCCTTCAGTATTTTTAAAAGTCTTGAAGCCTGTATTTACTACTTTGAACGAAACTGAACTGCTGAAAAGGTGTGTACTTGGAGCAATTCAAAATACAAATGAGTCACTAAACGGTTTGGTCTGGTCTCGATGCCACAAACGCAAGCATCATATGGAGCAAAAACAGTCCAATGTGCGGTTGCCTCTGGTGTTCTTCAGTTAAACTGTGGAGGTACAAACAGGGCGAAAATAATGGCAGAGCTCTCAATTCCTGGTGACACATTGACAAAAAAGGCCTCAACGGTGAAAAATAGAAAACATGTTTCCCAAGCTGATTTACTAGCAACAGCGAAAGAGAAAAAGAGGCGTCAAGGCGAGAACTTATTTCGTACTAGAAGGGAAGAAGCATTGAAGGATGCTGAAGGTACCACATATGAAGCTAGTGCCGTCTAATTATCTTCAGTAAGACTTTGATTTTGAACTTAGGTATATAGACCTTACATTTACTCATTGTGAACAATCCCGAAACTTTGAAGCCGTTTTCTCAAAATCGCACATTTTACCCTTAGAGAGAAAAAATATCTCTGGAACAATTAAACCAATTGACATGAACTTTTCCGGTTGTTCAATGCTGGGTTAACGCTAACACTGGCACAGCTGTATCGAGTATACAACACGTGGGTGAAGGTATTCCCTCAGATATATTTTTATCTTTTCAAGGTACTAAAAGTACCTTCTGGTTTAGGTATTATTTGTAAATCGGAAATATTTGTCATAATTCAAAAGTGTTTGATATCATTTATCCCTTATAATATTTCCTTAATGTTTCTAACTTGTTTTAAAGTGCTTATGCCACAAAATGTTTTTTTGACTTTTGAGTAGATTCAGTTTTCTCTTTTCATTCGCGAGATATGCGGCTCTAAACCTTGAAAAATTGGCTTTTAGCGAAAAATTGTCGCGCCCGAGAAAAAACCCGGAAAGGGTCAGGGGCGACCGCCGTGCGCCGTCGCTTAAGGGACGGAAGTTCGAATTCACATGTGAAGGAGTACTAAAAAGCTATTGAAAAGACAGCAAAATTGGAAGATAGATGTGTCGTTTTTGGTTGCTCAAACCATGCAAACGCAGAGAAAGGGATATCTCTTCATCAGATTCCATTCTGGAACGATGAGCGCCCTGAAGCAAAGCGAATGAGGAAGATATGGATGAACTTTGTCGCGACAAAGCGTGCAAAATGGACGCAAAATGTTCATTCTGCAAGCGTGAGGGGCAGGGATTTTGATGACAAGTGCATAATATAGGGCTGACCATAGGCATAAGTTGTAAGTTTATGAAATGTTAAAGATGCTGTAAAGTCCGTTCTGCGCATCACTTCTGCTCACAACAAAGTGGGACCCGCAGATATAAACATTGCCCAAATTTTGCATTTTTTTAACTTTTTTGAATTGGAACGTAGAATTTATATTCATTTACAAGCATAGCGATTCTGTTCCTGAAACAGCGAGGAGTGGTAATGAAATCCACAGTTTTGGTCCATGAAATAGAATACTGAACTTTAATGTTCGTTCTAGTTTGATAATCATCCGCTTGTCTTGGGTTACACATATGTATTTGACTACGTGTAGTAAATAGCGTGTTGAATGAAGATGGTAAAAAATGGTTATGATATAGAAACATAAATTTAGCGGTATAAAACGTATTTATTTGGTAAATATACGTATTTATTTGGTAAGAATCTGGTTCTATCTCGACGATCCGTGGCGATTGGCAGCTAGTGTGGGCAACCGTGATTTTCTAATGGAACCGAGAATCGTCGATCGCCCATGGCCATGTTCAGACATAGTTCAAACTTTGAACTTCGAGTTCTGCCAGTTCTGTCCATTGTGTTTGTAAATGTTGGTAAAAATATGAACTAGTTTGTCTTGATTGTATTTACAAGTTTTCGTCTTTTTATTGGTTAGGCGAGAAAGAAAGTCAAAATGATTCTGGCTGAAGCATCTTCGTCGTATGAAGATAAACTCGAGTATGATGTCAAGTCGAAAAATGACACAGATGAGATGTCATCTGATGCTATTGAAACGACCATTATACACATCCATGATCCTAAAAATATAAGATCCTTTACGTAATTCGGCCAGGTAAGGCTTTGTTTATAAAGTGTAAACTATAAATCATGCTAGTACATTACAATTATACTTTCAGACGTTTGTTGACAGTGAAACCCAGACAGAGGAATGTGTAAGATGCAAATGTCTGTCCACAAAAAAACAAAAGGCTGAGGAGCAGTTTGAAGACGGAAAAGTTTAAATTGACAAAAGAAAGATTTGCACAAGAGACTAATCAAGGTATTTACTAATGTCAAACTATAATTTTCTTGAGCCCTCATAGGCCCTAAATAACCTCAAGTTATCGATGGAATAGTGGTTGGATAAAATAGCAAAATAACATGCCGTTACCCTCACATGCCCTCCACATCTGTTTAGACGATACCAACGAGAACTGCCCGGAACATGATACAGACACAGATAATGACTATTAGACTTGCCACAAGTCGACCATGGGGGAGGAAGGGCGCGGGGGAGGGAACACACGACCCGAGCGACGAAGTCGCGAGTGGTCGACTTGTGTCCCTTGCAGGAATTTAAATCGCATTAAAAAGTTTGGCGCGAATAATTTTGACATAAAAGGGGTGTGTACATTTCATACAATTACTTCACCGCGCCGACAGTGGGTCTACAAAAACACAAAAACATTCCCAAGAATTGATATTTCTTTGTCCTCGAATGAAACAGTTTGCACAGAGTGTGGAAACGAAATAACTGACCCAAGTAAGCGTCGAAAGCTGTTCAATGTATCAACAAAAACGAGTGCATGTAAAAACTTATTGAATCTAGACAGTTGTTTTGTCTAACAATGTGTGCCGTAATTGTGCCGACAAGAATAGTAATTTATTAGACTTATTATAGAAAGTTGATTCAGTTCGCGAGCGATTTAATATTAGTACTAGAAGTTAATCTAATTGAAAAGAATCAGACAACTAGCTGTAACCGCGAAGCAGAGAGGCGGCGATTGTGATCAACGAGAAGACGTCGCCAGAGTTCAAAATCCGGTAAAAGTACGCGTTGTTTTCTCAACAAATGATTTTGTATTAATAATCAGTAATCACGAGATCAAGAAACCCAAACTAAACCCAAAACTAGTGAGAAAATTTTAGAATCATTAGATGCATCTTCGGTACGTGACAGTATTAATAAAGTTTATTTCGACACCCTGTACTTTTAAATATAGCCTACTCAATGTAATGCTTGTTTGTGTATTTTCACATGGTTTTTGTGTTCTACAAAATTGTAATTACATTGTTTACTCTAATTGCTTTAATAGTACACATTTCTTCAACAAGAAAGCCTGAGAATATAATTTGTAATACAATAATAATGTAAACCGCTTCGGCAAATCGGCAATGTAAACAATGACGTCACCGGTGGATTTTTCCACCGGTGATATTTGGCGCCTTTCCACAGAGGAAGCGAAGCGCGCCATAGAAGGGTCTGGAAAGGACTTTGGAAAGTCTAAATGACTATATGCTGGAAGAAGATGGCAGCGTGGATTTGTCAGATGACAGTGACGATGATAGCGGTGAAGATGGAGATTAAATATTGCATTCAGTGAAAAGGTTGGTATATTTTGTGTAGATGTGTCTGTGATTTAATCAGAATTTATCCCTTCTATCACACTTATGGGAGAGATATGAGAGGTTGACAAATGCTGCATTGCAATTCCAACGATCCCTTAAAACCTGCATTGATCAGCACAAATAATACTGTATGAATATGGTGCTTACCTCCATAAAAATACACATTGTTAGCACAATGCAAGCCTACAAATAACTTTAGTAATATGGGTTTATATGGAATTTTTCTTTTATCTAGAGAGGATATTAAAGACAATATCCGCCAACAGCCGAAATTTATTGTGTTCCTCACACTGTTGCTGTTGAGGACTTGCGTCTTTTGCCATGAAAGTGAGCCTTTGGTGAAAGTGTCACAAGTCGGAACAATGGTAACAATATCTACCAGCTACCAAAACCCAGAATGTAGGAAAGACTTTGTCTGGAAAAGTCAGCAACTATAATATTATGCCAGGGACAAAAATGTATGCAGGAATTTCCCTGTTATCCTTTGCTATCATGGTAACAAGTTATGAAGCACATGGGACTTGCTTGCATTTCATAGTCTACATATTTTAGACATCAACGAGTAAGTACCATTAATTAAAAACACTGAAATGCACAAATACATTTCTTGATAGGTGAATATATTTAAAAATATAAATTATTAAAACAGGTATAATATGTAAAGACATAATATACTTGACCTCAAGAATGACAAAATTTAAAAAAAACACTTCCAACTAATAAATTATCTCTTTGGCTCTTTATTCATTATTATAGAAAAACTTATTGCCTTCAATCCATTTACATTGGAAGGAATACCAAAAGAAAATTGTGAAACAGGCTAAAGAAGCTGGCTCTTTGGTTTTGGCAGGAGACGGTCGGCATGACAGTATGGGACATTGTGCAAAATATTCAAATACAATATTCAGCTGCACCACTTCCATCATTATTCACTTTTCCCTAGTACAGATAAAGGAAAAGTACTCTAATATATTTCAATACTTTCCAGCCAGTTAATTATGGGATTGGTTGCATGAATCCATTTCATGTATATATATATGAGTAAGACTATGTGTTGGTTATGTAGAGATCTTCTATTCCCTGATATTGAACACACCTTATTCTACTTATAGCGAAATGAAGCAGGTAACAGTCTAGCAATGGAATATTTGGCATTCCAAAACTGTATGGGATTCTTGTTGGGATGTAAGTTGTGATGTCAACATCAAAGCGAATACTTTGAAGAAGGCTCGAGAAGAGTTGAAGACCGTGACCCGACCACCAATGAACACTATGTTGGAAAAACAACCCAAGTCTGAGGCATTGAAGAAAAGGGAGGACATAAGACAGATGCAGGTTAAAGATGTCCCTTCAATACCAGGTAAATTATGGATAAGCCTAGAAGAATTTCTTTCAATATAGGTCAAAGAAAGTTTGTATTTATGTTTGCATGACAAATAAATCTTGTTCATGTATATCACTATAGTTAATAATACCATCTTGTTTCAGTGACAGAGCTTCAACAACCAACTCTAACAGTGACTTGAACAAACAATACTTTATCTGTTACTGTCTCTGTGCAAAATATATTACAATTATTTTGGCATTACAAGCCCTTTGTTCATGACAAGGAAGTCTGTGTTACATTAATAGGTCTTGCACTTGTCATTGGAAACACTCGTCCCACCCACCCCAAAGAAACATGGGGGCATAGATGGGGAATGATGGAGGTATTTGCTTGCAATAATTGCCCCCCCCCCCCACCTATAATTGGAGTATTTTCTGGCATTAGTCTACACAAAAGGCTAATGCCCCATATTTCCCCGGCGTAAGGGGCAGGGATTTTGATGACAAGTGCATAATATAGGGCTGACCATAGGCATAAGTTGTAAGTTTATGAAATGTTAAAGATGCTGTAAAGTCCGTTCTGCGCATCACTTCTGCTCACAACAAAGTGGGACCCGCAGATATAAACATTGCCCAAATTTTGCATTTTTTTAACTTTTTTGAATTGGAACGTAGAATTTATATTCATTTACAAGCATAGCGATTCTGTTCCTGAAACAGCGAGGAGTGGTAATGAAATCCACAGTTTTGGTCCATGAAATAGAATACTGAACTTTAATGTTCGTTCTAGTTTGATAATCATCCGCTTGTCTTGGGTTACACATATGTATTTGACTACGTGTAGTAAATAGCGTGTTGAATGAAGATGGTAAAAAATGGTTATGATATAGAAACATAAATTTAGCGGTATATAAAACGTATTTATTTGGTAAATATACGTATTTATTTGGTAAGAATCTGGTTCTATCTCGACGATCCGTGGCGATTGGCAGCTATAGTGTGGGCAACCGTGATTTTCTAATGGAACCGAGAATCGTCAATCGCCCATGGCCATGTTCAGACATAGTTCAAACTTTGAACTTCGAGTTCTGCCAAACGTAAGAGCGACAGCAAAAGTATTATATAACCTACATTAGTCAGCGAGACATGGCGAAAGATAAGTTGCTTGCATAGCAAGTTTTTTAGTAAAGATTACAAAAATAAAGAGTTTAAAAAAATGCTTGGCAAAAGTTGCCGAAAAATTCAATATCGCCAAAGACTAAGATTCAAAATATCCGCAGGCATTCGGCGATTTTTGAAAAAGAAGTCGATACCGTCAGGCTTGGGAAGAGATCCAGTTCCTACACGGAGCAAATTTGCAAACTTTGATGGCTTTGGTGGTGTTGTTGATGTTGCTGTAAGCTTTGATGGAACGTGGGCTAAGAGAGGTTTTACATCATTGATTGGAGTTGTATTTGTCCTTTTGGAAACAGGGAAAGTTTTAACATTGTTTATCTAAATCCTGTCAGAAGTTCTCCCTCAATAAATCTAAATGTAACGATGATGCTGAATTTGAGGAGGGGCAGGTTCAACACGTTGCATCTGGTGAATGTTACATCAATTTTGATGGAATGTGAAGGAGCTGTTAGTCTTGGAATGTGAAGGAGGGTTTCGAAGGCACCATTGTAGCCGGTATCCTTTTTTAAAACGTTGTCGTGTCATTCCTTCGTATCGGACAGCCCACCGCCACCACTCTCTAGAGTGGTTGGCCCATCTCCACACAGTGGCCTGTTTGACGAGTCAGCAGCAGACAATATGATAAAAATACCTGTTAGAATCACTTCACGTCAGAGACCATCACGTCAGAGACTATCATATCAACTACCCATTAATAATTCTTCTAGTGTTAACAATAACTTGCAAAATAGAAATCTTGTTCGTGTTCCTTTGTCCAACCCTGCCTCTCCAAACGCTTCCGCACTCTCGTGGTCACTCACGTTGAAAACCACTAATGATACGGCCTCAGCCCATTTAACAAAAAAGTCAGATAACAGCCTCAGTACTCTTCCAGGTCTCAAACTGGTCCACCTAAACATCCGCTCTCTGAAAAATAACGCCCATTTTTTAGAATTACGTAAGTTTACCAAATTTAACAAAATTGACGTCCTTACAGTGTCAGAGACATGGTTAAATACCTCCGTCACAAACAAGGAAATAGAAATCGAAGGTTATAAGCTACATCGTTTAGACCGACTGCACAAGAAAGGGGGCGGGGTATGTGCTTACATACGAAAAGATATTAAATCTCTTGTACTTAAAGACCTCAGTTATATCTCCGAGACGAATTTCCATCAATTATGGATCAAATTACAGCACAAAAAATCTAAATCACTGTTGGTCTGTGTCTCTTATCGACCCCCAGACAGCCCGCTTGACTGCTTCGAAAATATTTTAAACCTAATTATGTTCATGCTCTGACGATGGGAAAGTTGATCATTCTTCTTGGAGACCTAAACTGCGATATGCTTAAGCCCACACCTGGATCAGCGTCTTTGATCAAGACGACAAAAGAACTCAACCTTAACCAGTTAATAAAATCACCAACAAGAATTACTGAATCCAGTCAGACCCTCGTCGACGTTATTTTCGTATCCTCGCCAAGACTAGTAGTCAATAGCGGCGTCATAGAAACCTGTATCAGCGATCATTTCCCTGTGTATGTATCACTAAAACTTAAAACCGACAAATCTCCACCAAACTATATCACTACCCGCAGCTACAATAAATACGACCCTGATTTGTTCGCGATCGATCTGGCATCCAACCGTGATCGTCTTGTTTCCATTCTCAGAATGGACAATGTTGATGAAAAACTAACCATTTTTAATGAAATATTTTTAAATACATTGGATAAACACGCCCCAGTAAAGACCATAAAAGTACGCGGAAAATCTTGCCCATTTATCACCCCGGAAATAAAAGCATCCATGATCAAAAGAGACCAACTCCACAGTCTTTTCAGGAAAACACGTGATCATTATGATTGGCTTAATTTCAGAGAGGCCCGCAATTTTACAAAAACCGCACTTGTTAATGCACAGAAAGAATATGTACTGAAGGAAGTTCAGCAACACAGAAACAATACTGGGTCACTTTGG